TGATGAGAAACATCCTGCATGCCCCCAACTGGGGATTGAGCCCACAACCTGGGCATGTACCCTGACCAGGAAGTGAACAAGTGACCTCTTGGTTCATGGGTCGAAGCTCAACCACTGAGCTAAAGTGGCCGGGCTGGTCCCTCTGTTTTTACCCTGCTTGGGGTTTTCTGAGTATCCTGGATCTATAAGTTGGTATTTTTAAACAAGATTGGGGAAATGTGGCCAAAAAGTATAAACAACTCAAATATCCATCAGCTGATAAATGAATACATAAAATGTGCTATACACATACAATAGAATATTATTTGGAAATAAAAATGAAACACTGATATGAACTGCAACATGGGTAAACCTTGAAAACAGCAACTGAAAAAAGCAAAAGACTGCCTATGTGTAATTCCATTTATATGAAATATCTGAATAGGTAAATCTACAGAAACAGAAAGTAGGACTGGTGAGGATAAGGGAAATATGGGGTGACTATAATGGATTGCAAGGTTTCTTTTGGGGGTGATAAAATGTTCTAAAATTGTGCAGATGGTTGCATAACTCCGGGAATATACTGGAAGCCACTGAATTGTACACTTTAAATGGGTGAATTGCATGGCATGTGAATAATATGTCAATAAAGCTGTTATAAAAAGAAGAAGCAGAAGCAGCAGAAGCAGCAGCAGCAGCAGCAGGTGCAACAACTGGTTTCCTAACTCACGATTCTGGGTTTTTAATATTATGCTTAATATTTCACAATTTTTAAAATTTACATTTATATGGTTTTAAATATTATTTATTCAAATAATTAAATGACTTTTAATTGCCCTGTGTTTTTTTCTTGGGTGCTTTTAATGAACACAACCAATATAACATCAAATAGTATGTGCAGACATGGATTTTAAAATGACATAAAACTGAATCCTCATATTTATTGAAGTCATCAAAATTGTCTTAAATAAAGCTTTATAGCTAATGACTGTTTATTATCTATTTTCTCACATGATTTTTTTTCACAACTCTGAGGTAGTTAGGAAAGGTAGTATTATCCACATTTTTCAGACCAGGAAATTGAGGCTCAAAGAGTAACACAAATAGTTCACTTACCCAGGAATTTTAACTGTAACTCTAGTATTCTTTTATAGTATTAAAAAAAAACAACACTAATTCTCTTTATCTTCTTTTTCTCTTTTTTTACTATCTTTGTTTAAAATTTAAATTCTTTATTGTTGAAAGTATTACATGTCTCCTTTTCCCCCCATTGATCTCTCCCCAGCTGCTCCCGCTCCCTAGCACATGTCCCTGCCCCACTAGTCTTCTTTTTCTCTTAATTCACTTTTTCTAGTGCAGAATTTTTTTCTCCTTTTTCATTAATATATTAAATGCCACAGAAAAGAAGTAGAGTTAAGAGTAAGTAGAAATATAATCACTTTCTTTAATTCCTATTTCTGGGATGGAGAGTTGGGAGCACTGTTCAGTTGGGGCAAATTTATAGCACTGTTTTCTCCAAATAATTCTATGGTTACTTTCATTTAGATAAACCAATTTATGAACAGAGAATAATTTTTTTAAATATTATAGTGTGTTAAGAACTTTATTTTTTTAAATTAATTTATTTTTTTATAATATATTTTATTGATTTTTTACAGAGAGGAAGGGAGAGGAATAGAGAGTTAGAAACATCGATGAG